GTTATATAAAATAAAATTAAATTGTAAAATTAAATTATAGACTTACAGTCTGAGCAGAAGCTCTATATTTATTTTGAGTTCTTGTAGTGTTATATCATTAAACTGAGTATAGAATATCTAGAAATTTAAAATATTTATTAGAAATAATTTTTAAATTAACAATGATATTATCTTTAATACTATTACTATTATAATTTTGAGCATGCTTTGAAGATTTGATCAGATTATAATTATCATAAGCATCAACATCTTCAATATTGTAAAGATGTTCCTAATTGGAATTATTTATAATTCTCAGATAACATATTATGCATATTAGAAAATCAGTTAGATTTGCAATATTTGGCTTTATGAATTTTTGGTGCTCTAATTGTTATAAAAATTTGAATATTATCAATTAGACGAAAAGAATCCTTAACTGTTGTTTAACATTCATTTGGAAAAAAATATATCATTATATCTAATATTAAAAAGTTTTAAGATTTCTTGATAGGCCTGCTTAATAGTTCTATTATAAATAAAATAATTTTTATATTCTAATGCAACTGATCACTCCTTATTTTTAAAATGTTTTACTAATTTTTCTTTAACTTCTTGTCTTTGTAGTCTTTTATATGATATTTCTATATATATTTGTGCTGCATGTATGTGTTTGCAAACATCTTGAAATGGTTCATTCTACTTATTAGTAGATAAATTAACAAGATAATGAGTTGCTAGTATATTTATATTATTCTAGTTTATTAATTTGATAATCATCATATCAATTTTTTCCAAAATTTCTGTTAAAATACTAATATAATGATTATTGTATAATGAATAAAACCTTGTATTCTGTTTTTTAACCATTATATAATTTGTTTATTCAGGTACTGGCATGATTAAATCAAGCAAAGAATAAAGACAACCTTGATTTATATAACATTTTTTATTGATCAGTTTTTTAAATGACATTTGTTTATATTTAATTGTATGCATATTCTAATAAGTTGATAATTCTACATCAAATAAAGATTCACCAATCTTATTTTGTATTAGTGATTTTTTAATAAATTTGATACCATAAAGATATTCAATAAATGATACAACTGTTTGAGTTCTACTCCTTCATAATTCTATAATTTTATTTATTTTTTTTGTCAAATTATTTATAATTATTAGCTTTACTTTAGGTAAATTATACACCTGTGGTTCTTATTTTCTATCAATAAAACTTTGACATTACTCATCATATATCCAGTTTATTTCTAAATCATGAATCAAAAAATCTTTGATATTATTGTCAAGTGATAGAGAATGAATAAATTTCTTATATTCATTTTTCATTTTAGTTATTTCTTTATCAGACTTACATCAGCCTACAATTTTACAAACTAATGTAATAGGATATTGTAAATTCTAATTTACTTTTCATTTTTGTAAATGTTCATCTAAGATTACTATTATATGAAACCAACATAGAATGATACTATGAACAATATTTTGCAAAACAAGTTTTGTTGATCTATGTTTATTTATTATAGCCAATAGATTCCAGTATGATGTATATTCACTTATATGTTTAAACTCATGTTCATTTGATAAATCAACATATCAATATTGATGTATACATTGAGGATTATTGCATGAAATATTAGCTTTTATTGCTTGTACTGCTAATCATATTGTGTAATGATTCTCTTTATTACTAAAACCAAACACTAGTGAAGAATTATATCTAGCCTGATCTTCAATGACTATAACTAATACTAATGCACTTTTATTATTTAAATCATATTTACTATCTATTCCAAAACAAAAATGTTCACAATTATAATCTTGTTGAAGTCATAAATTATTACTTAAAGTTAATTAATAATAATATTCTAGACTGTTTTTTGAAGCAGAAACATCTTGATATTAATAATAAAGAACTTTTTTCTATATTTTTAGTTTTTTAGTAACTAGTTAGTCTAAAATAGTCTATGGACTAACATCTTCACATAACTGATAATCATTTTATTTAATAAACCTTTTTAATTGTTATTTAGTACATAGGTCTTTATTTGTTTTATATATATACTAAAAATCAGTTTCATTTATATTATTGTATAGAACTAATATTTTTATTACAATTTTTGTTCCAGAACTATGATATCTATAACATACTATAATAATCTTATCACAAGCTTAAAGACTTAAATTAATTCTATTCAATTTTGATTCTGTGACAGGTATTGATAATGATTTATATGTATCTTGAATAATTAACTATACTAGAAAAGACTCTTCAATATTAGAAAACATCACTTTTATGATAATTGAACTGCATATTTATATATATCAAAATTATTCTTAAGATTATTTTTTAGATTGAAATTTGAATATTCTGATTTACACTTTCCAAGTCTACCACATGCTTTTTTACAATCATTATTACCATTACAAAAAAAGACCCATCACCATGTAATTATATCAGAAGTGATATCTTGTCTTATTTCAGTTATGCAATTATGACCTTTATTAGTAAGTTCAATTACATTATCTAATCGATTTGTTGATTTATTTTGTTTTCGACTAGTTTTTCACACAAGATAATCAATTGCATCTTCAACATGTTTCAAAATAATAAATTCAACTTTGATATTTTTGTTAATATAAAACTAGCTTTGTTTTTTGAGCTTACAACTTTTTAAAAAAGGCAGAGAACTAATATATGCTTCAATCGCATGGCCAAATGTTAAATTGACACTTCTATCAGTATTAATCTGATGTTAAAGAAGTGAATAAGATATATTCATATTCTAAAAAAAAGAGAACCTTTTATATTAACTATAACAAAGTATTTTAATTAACTATTTATTCTTATTAACTATATGTACTATCAAGTATTTAGACTCACTTAGGCTTTACAATTTCGATACGTTTAGCTTTTTCTTTTGTCAAGAAACACAGTACTGTAAAAAAAAATCCAATTATTTTTAATAAAACCTTTTTTTTATTTATTTATTTATGTTCTGCACTGTCATTAATAAACTCAACAAACAATATACATTCACTATTTTTGTACGATCGTTATATAATTAAAATCCCGATACCAAGAATCGACCCTTTTACATAGCAAAAAAAACAGGATTGTCCAAATCGAATATTACTTTTATAAATTTATCGTGTAATTGTTTATTTATATATGACATATATTAATTTTAATAATAGTACATTAAAAATTATAAGAACGTGTGCCCTATGCATTTGGTGCGTCCCTTCTATAATTCAAAATTTTACCAAATATTACTATAACTATGCATTATTCTTACCTCTATATAATAGTGTTATAATATAAAATAAAATATGTAAATACTAAACTCTGAAGTTTGTGTAACATCCGCCTATCAAGAAAAATATGTAAATCGAGGTTTTTTTAATCCTATCAGGAAAGGTACCGACGATCCATCAGGAACGGTATTTTTGCTACAGATAGGGTTGTTAAATTACAGTAATTTTACGTAGATTCTGTAAATTGGAATTGTAATTTTGAACACATGATATTTAGTTTCTGAGATCAAATTTTCGGCGATTTAAGGCTTACATTTCGGATCGTACATTCAAATCAATCGATGCAATAATGCTGGCCGAAATTTTGTAAATCTGATACTTTATGTATGACGTGTGAAAGTTAACATGAAAATTGATTTTCTGTAACTTACATAAAATTACATGTAATGTAAAATTGTAATTTATGTAACACAACCCTAGCTACAGAGGTTCTGCCGCACAAAAAATGCGCGGCAATTTGGCCTGCATTAAGTAATTTAGGCCGATGATCTTCAAATTCTTAATTTTGGCCGGAAATTAATTTTTTTTGAAAATTTATTAAAAAATAGGCCTGCTCCATGGTAACATTGGCCCAGGAACATTTTTCATTTAATGAGCGGCTGCAGTTTCATTAGTAGAATTTCTTTTTTTGTCGCGCATTTTTGTGTGCAGCAGCTACGATAAAAAACCTGGTGCTGCGACCACCAATTTTTTTCATAGAGCTGCTCTGATTGGCTAAAATCTAAAATTCGCATTTCGAACCATGAATTTTTAACAATTCGTTTTTCGATTAACCACTCAATTAATAATGCTTTGAGCAACATCTCGATCACTAGCTAATCACATTGAGGGAGCTGCTTGAAAACATCCTTAATCACTAGTCATTGTCACTCAAAAATTAGATAACTAATAACTTAAATTTAATAAGTTATTACGTAACTAAATGATCTTGACAGAATGACAGTGATTAACTTAGTCATTGTCCCCACTGTCTCGCCATTATTTGATTTATTAATTTGGTATAACAATATAGTGGATGATGAAGCAAATTTGATGCACATAAAATATAACGTGCATTTTCAATTCAATTTATTTATTTTACAGATATTGAATGCATCGAATCCAAATTTAAGGTAAATTAATTTTGAACCACCGGCAAAAAATTAGCGATTTTACAAGAGATTGAAGAGGTTCTCTTTTCATTTGCCATCGGATATGGTATTAAATTTAATGAGGAAATGAGTACGTAACGTAGAATCAAATCAATATCATCAACAAACGACTCAAAGTAATTAATGTTGTAATTAATGTTAAATACAAAAATTGTGATATTCTTGAGATACACGGTTCTTGTTGGAACCGTCAAATTTCGTTTCATTCTGTGTTTGGAGATTTTAAAATTGAACAATTGATCAAATATCAATTTAAAATAATCATAAAGAGAAAATCGTACCAATGCTGATGACACATAATATTATATGTGCATGTACTCCGGTGGCGATAGCAAGCCGTTCATGAACAGAGTAATCCCAAGCACAATGCTCAATGAAGCAGATACATTGGCAAGTACAAAGCTAATATCGTATTTTGTTCCATAATAAAATAGATCAGCCGTTGTATAAAGATGTGCAATACAACCGATGCTCAAAAATTGCAGAATAGCTGATAAATAATTATTTTTATTAGTGAATGAGTAGTTTATTTGATCAAAGTTCGATTTGAACAACAAAATTTCTTATACCAAATACAAAGAACAGAACTGATAATATCTTCCAGGCTTTTTCTCTTCTCGCTCTGCCACCAAGTAGAACTGATACCAAATGCAACCAAGCCAAACCGCCAACGACAGAAGCGAGGATCATTCCAATGGCAGCAGCTTCCCACTCTTCGCAAAAATTACGTTCATTACAATCATTTTGCTCAGAAGATGGGAAATAACGGCATGTATCATCCTTGCTTGTGCATATCTTAAATAGGCCATAATATGTGCTTTGATGGATCGGCCATTTTCGAGTTGAAAAAACAAGCCTGAGCCGTTTGAAGAAAAACAAAAATTAAATTATATTTTTAAATAGTGAAAAGGCTAAAACCTTTTTGCGATAATAATTCACAGAGTAGAGATTCACTGCCTCACCAATTTGGTAATAACATTGCTAATAACGAGAAGAAGTAAGAAATTGTGAATAGAATTGATACTAATGCGTATGCTACTAACGTCGGCATCTTGAACAAGGAGCAGATAGAAAATGATATTTGAGATAAACTTTAAGTTCTTTTTTATTTGCTGATTTTTCTTATCCTACGGGGGGTAGTGTTGTACATTTTGAATGTCCCGAACTTTTTTAGTTTTGTCCCATTTTTGGGACGTCCCAACTTGTTTTTTTTCAACTTATCAAATATCTTATGATTTTTAACCATTTTTATTTAGGAGGTTGTCTTTTAATGAATTCTTGAGTTATTTCATTTATATGATTATTTTGTAATCCAGTGATTAGAAACGAATGTTTTTTATACATTATCCTTCGATTCGAGACAATTTACTTTTGATATTATGTGATCTGCCACTTTACCACCTCCCATACTATCCCCTTTTACCTTATATTTAGTATTAGCAGTGTTAAGTTATTCAAAGATCAAAAAAAAATACGTACGTATACGTATATCCTAAAAGTTTGATATGAATTATTGAATATTGAGAACCAGGTTTTGAATTTTGGTTCCGAACCAGATCGGGTTTAACTTAGGTTCGGAACTTATTATGTAAAAACCGGTTCTAGGGTGTTAATTTGAAACCTAACCTAAACCGAATCAAACTAACTCTACCTAACTATTAAACAACCTAGAATACAATTTATCATGTCTTCCTTGCAAAATATCTAACAATGGTGATGTTTGTACAGCCACTTTACTGTTTAATTTACAAGTTTTTTCCAAAGACTTTTCAACATACACCTGACATTCTGTCAACAGCCTTTGAGAATAATACGGGCCGATTATATTTAATCGAACGGCGGCAGATAAAATTGCACGAGCAAATAAGAATAGGTAAAGATGTTGTGTCCGCTCTGTTAAATAGATAAAAAATATTTGAAAAGGAATTGAGAAAAGAATTCTATGTAGGAAAACAGTTACAATTACCCAAACTAATTCCAAGACACTTTGTAACCAATCCAAAACAAATCGGCAGGTGTCCATATGAAATTTCTTTTCTAACTCTAAGCTTAAACTTTTCTACTACGGAGTCTTTCATATTTGGTTTACTATCTTCATTAGCAAAAGATTTAGCAAATAAAGTTAACATAGCGACACCTTGAGCTTTCGAAGCTCGCTTTGTAACATAATTTGATGTACAAGCGTCATATAAATTATCTAAACTTATAATTTTTTCCATAATTTTTTCCATATTGTTCACAGAATCTTTTTCTTTATCATTTAAATTTTCATTGCCCGGGCTTCCTATATCGACGGCCCACCAAGTATCGGTAACAAATGGTAACGAACTATAAGCATAATTATCAATGCTACTACTTAAAAACAATAATAAAGACTCTGTATTTGTAACATGTCCTGCTTGTGTTGCAGATTCTAATCCAGCAGAAGCTACGAAACCTCCGGTTGGCAACGCAGAATCAGTAAATTGCCATAATAACCAATCCTCACGATTTGTATTTTGAGTTTGAGCGTTCATTTAATTTTAAAGCTTGAAAGTGGTTCAAAATTTATATTTTATATATATTCTTTACATGTGATTGTACATCAGGTAATCGTAAACGAACTATTTTTGGATGGATTTGCAGAATTCTGATTTCAAATAACCAATCAAATTAAATAATTTTCACTGTACGTATAGTTAAAAGACAAAATATTTTAAAAAACTACTTCATAAACTTTATGTATTATATGGTGCTGGAAGCCTATACTCAACAGTTACATGAAGTGTTTCAAATTTTTAAATGACTATAACTTTTTATCTAAGAGGTTTTAAAAAAATCCACCCGGTAACTTTATAGAGCTATATCAGCTCTACATATGTGCCAAATATCTTTTCAAAATCTCATCACTGTAAAGAGTTGATGCTTTTTGAAAATTGAAATTTTATATGTAAATTTATAAATTTATATATAAAATTTCAATTTTCAAAAAGCATCAACTCTTTACAGTGATGAGATTTTGAAAAGATATTTGGCCCATATGTATAGCTGATATAGCTCTATAAAGTTACCAGGTAGATTTTTTTAAAACCTCTTAGATAAAAAGGTATAGCCATTTAAAATTTTGAAACACTTAGTATAATCATTGAGTATAGGCTTCTAGCACCATATTAAGATATATTATATTAAGCTATTTAAATTAAAAGTCTAAAAAGTTTTGTTAGTTCTAAGTTGCAGTTAGTAGAAAATAATAAAAAAGATGTTAAAAAAATAGGTACTAAAGTTTGTGTAAACCTTACAAGAATATAGCAATTTAATGATTAGCTTTAATTGCAAATATTAATTTAAACAAAAGTAATATTAGATTTGTTACAAGAATAGAATACAAAAGGCTTTAGTAGCTTTAGTACAAAGTTAAACATAATTTAGTAATCATGGTATATTTTTATTAGTTTACTAGAATTATTAGTTATTGCTAACCTTTATCAACAGTTTAATGCTTCTGTTAATCTCTGTAAAGAATGCTTGCATATTAAATATCAAGATGAATTGGATACTTATTAAGAATATTGCTAAAACTTTGCTCCTCTTCTAGGTTTTATCTATAAATCTTCTATACCAAAACTAGTAGACTTTTTATCAAACTTTTTTAATGCAACTTTACTAGAACTAAACTTTTTGCAATCACAAGTTATACAATTATAACAACAAGTTGAAACCTAAAACTAACTTATTCTACAGCTTCAACAAAAGTAAAAAAGTTAGAAAGATTTATACAAACTCTTCTACAAATATTCTAACAAGATGCTCAAACTATTAACAATAATATGCTTTTCTTGCTCAAGAATAGAAAAACCAAATTTTTAGATTATTCTAGTCAGAATAAAAAACTACTTGTTAAATCAGACAATATGCATTAAGTTTTTATAATAGACACTATAATTCTTTATAAAAAATATAATGTTAGTTCAAAATCATATAAATTAATATTGGACTTTAAATGCTAAATAAGGCAAACAATTTAGCTAGCTGCTAATGAAGTTCTTAGATCTTTTTGCATAAGATATAACAGAATTAGAATAAACTAACCTTGAGACTTATTGAATCTATATCAAAGAAAAACCTTTTATTTGATCTTGATCTTACTCTTTTGCACTAACAGAACAAACATTTATTAAAGAAGAAATTTAATAAATGCTTAATAATAGACTTATAAGACCCTTTTCTAGTATTTGAATCTTAGCAATTGTATTAGTTTAAAAGAAAAATAACAAATTATGATTTTGTATTAACTATTATAAACTTAATACTGTTACTAAGAAAGATGCTTATCTTTTATTTTGCATTAATAAAATATTTAATACTTTAAAAGAATACAAGTAGTTCTTTATACTTGATCTTACAAATGGATATTGGCAAGTTGTTATACATCTTACAAATAGAGAAAAAACTGCTTTTGTAACTCAATATAGTATTTATAAGTTTAATATATATAATGCTCTTTGAACTATATAATGTACTTGCAATTTTCTAATAATTAATAGATAAGTATATTAAAATATTGCATGAAAATTTGTAATAATTTATTTTAATAATACTATAATATACTTTAAGACCTTTAATGAATATTTAAAACATTTATAACAAACTTTTATTAGAATCAGAAAAGCTAGTTTATAGTTAAACTTAAAAAAATATAACTTTTAGATGCAAAGTATATTATTTTTAGAATATATAATTATTTCTATTAGAATAGCATCTGATTCTTAAAAGATAAAAGCTGTCTAGAAGATTCAACTATTTAGTAATGTAACCTAACTATGTTCATTCTTAGGACTAGTAGGTTATTACTGATAGTTTATTTATAACTTCTTAAAAGTAGCACAGCCTCTAAACCAGCTATTATATAAAGAAACTCCTTATATATAAGATAAACCACAACAAAAAGCTTTTAAAAAACTAAAACAAAGACTCACCACAGCTTCTATATTAAAGTATTCTGTTTTTGATAGACTGTTATCTTAGTTAATAATGTCTTTTATTATAGATTTGAAGCTATTCTTAGTTAATTAAATAGAAATAGAAAAGAACACCTTATAGCCTATGCAAGTAAAAGCTTAAACAAAGAAACAATCAACTATGATGCTACTAAACTTAAATGTGTTGCTATTGTATAAGCTATTAAACATTTTTATAAATATTATGAAACAGTTAAATTTATTCTGATTACAGACCATTTTGCTTTTAAATAATTACAATTTGCTGAATCTAAAGAATGCTTAGAATGATAAATTCTAAAACTTCAACTCTATAACTTTGAAATTATTTATAAACCAAAAAAAATTTATTCAAATATAGATGCTTTATCTTAACTCTAAACCCAAACCTCACATCAAAACTCTTTTTTATAAATTTAGACCTTTATTATAATTTATACAATTATATAAAATCAAACAAATTACTTGGCTTTTTATTACAGAAACAGATTAGAAAAAACAATATTATGCTAGATATTTTATTACTAAGAAAAAACTATTATATAAGAAAAACAAAAAGAACCTTTAATATCCTCTTTATGTTATTAAATAAAATAAAGTAAAATTTGTTCTATATATAATGCATAAGCATTCTATTGCAAAACATCTAGGAACAAATACTATGTACTATAAAATAGCTAAACATTACTATTAGGACCAAATGTATAAAGGTATAAGAATATATTAAAACATGCAAAGAATACTAAAAGAAACTAAAAGGCCAACAAACTAAATCTTTTTATCCTATTTAAATAAGATGAGCCTTTAAACAAATTGAAATTAACCTAGTAAGACCTTTACTGATTACTAAACAAAACAATTAATATATTATTATTGCTACTAACTATTTAATAAAATGGCCAGAAGTTCATACTATACCTGATGCTGAAGCAAATACTTTAGTTTAGTTTATTTTTGAAGAAATTATTTGTCAACATATAATACCAAAAATTATTCTTTTTAATCAAGAAAAAAATTTTTATTAGTGAAACTGTTCACATTTTATATAAAAACTTTTTTATAAAATATAAGTTCTTTTATTATACTACTTATAGATAAATAAAATGATTAAATGTCTTAATCAAATTTTATATGAATTATTTGCTAAAGTTAAAGAAAATAATAACTGAGATTTATATATACTTGCTGTACTACTTACTTATCAAACAAAGAAGTATACTACAAATAAATATACTTCTTTTTAGCTTGTATATAAACAACAAACTGTTCTCTTAATTGAAGCTTTATTATTTGTTAAACCTTATGAAGAAACAGAATACAACCTACAAGATAGCATATTGCATTGAGCATTTGAGCTTATTGATAAGCTATCTGAATTGCAAAACAATATAAAAGAAAAGACTAATAAGTTATAACAAAAACAGAAAAAATACTTTAATGCCAAAATTTATTATAAAATATTTGAAATAGATAACAAAGTATAGATAATTAAAAAAAATATAAAACATTCTTAATCTACTAAATTTGAGAATAAAAAGAACTAAACCTTTTATTATTTAAGAAAAATTAAATAATAGTGCTTACAAACTTTGTAACAACAAAAGAAAACATTGCAAAAATATTATGATAGTAATTATCTTACTAAATATTATAAAAACAAATATAGAAACTTTTTGTTCTTATTGAATAACTAAAATTTCTAAAAGAAATTTCTAGAGCTAAAAGAAAAGACAATAACATTATACAAATTTTTTAATATTACAATTATTCAAAAATTGTGATACTTTAAAATTTATATAAACATTCTTAAATCATACGAATTTTTCTAAAAATAGAAATTTTAAAACTACAACCAGAAACAGTACTTTAAACAATTTCTCTCAAATCTGAAAACAGAATCTTGTATTTTAAAATTATTTAAATATATTATCTCAAAATATTTTTTTTTGAAGTAATAAAAAATCAAAAAAAATTATCAACTTAAACTTTATAATAGAAGCCTTTGTAGAATTTAATATTGATAAATTTTTATAAATAAAAAAAATACAATCTTTTCTAATCAAAGCTCTATTTAAAAAGTAATAACTTAGTTAGAAAGTAATAATACTAACTATTTAATTCAAATAATAAATGATTTAAAACAAACACTAGTACTAACAACTTAAAGTATAACTAATTTTTTTTTTAAAGAAATATAAAAAGAAAAAGTTAATTGAATCTTAAAGTTTTTATTTATTTCTGAACATACTCAATATAATCTTAATAAGAAAATTGAAGCCTATTACTACTTAAAACAAATAATCTCTAAGTTTGATAATCTATTAGAGATTAAAGATCTTATTTAGAATGCTTAAATAATAAGAAAAGCAAAAAATATTAAAAAAGTGCTTTTAGAATATATAAAATTCTTGAATTACAATCAAGAAAAATAACTTTATACTTGAAATATATAACTGTAACATATATTATTAAGTTGCTAAATAAAGAATATACTCAACTTCTTAAATCAATTAAAACATAAACTTTATGAAGTAAATTTTTTAAAAAAACAAAAATATTATAAAATAAATAATTATTATTTTATTATTATTATTTATTATTATTATTTTATTAATATTAGTTATTCTTATTATTGTATTATTATTAGAAGTTGCTAGAACTTTTTGGTTACTTAGTAATCATATTTTACTTAGTTACTTAGTCACTTAGTTACTTAGTTGCTTAGCTGCTTAGCTGCTTAGTTACTTAGTAATTAGTTATTTAATAATTATTAGTTATTAGTTGCTAGAATCTTTTAGTTGCTTAGTTACTTAGCTGTTTAGTCACTTAGTAATTAGTTACTTAGCAATTATTAGTTATTAGTTGCTAGAACCTTCTAGTTGCTTAGTAATTACTTAGTTGCTTAATGCTTAGTTGCTTAGTTACTTAGTCACTTTGTCACTTAGCTTACAGATATATAAATCTTGCTAAATTCTTCAAGTATAATTAAGCAACAAATATCTTTCTTCTTTTTAATATTGTAAACACATCTTGGAATTCTTTAGAAACAGAAACCTAAAAATAGCTTTTCTTGTTATTATTTTAATAAATAGCTTTTGATTATAAACTATATTGATATTCTTTTTCTAGAGTAATTTCTACAAACAAGGTTTATCTTTATTTTAGTAAATAAAGTAAAGTTATTAGCATTGTATTATCTTTTTCAAACTGCTTTAAAGAAAGATATAATTTCTTAATAACATTTGACAGAAACTATACTTTTTTCTTGAACATCACATATACTTATAAGAAATTTACTATATTGTATTATTATTATAGTATAAAAATTAAGAAAGCTTTTATTTATAATAATATAACTAGTTATACAAATGCTTTATAACTTGCTAGTTATACTAATATAATTATAATTATAGATGTTTTAATTCAATTATTAGAAACAGTTGCTGTAATACAGGTAATTATCCAAATTTTTAACATTAATGAGTTTTAAACTTTTAATTAGTTACTTAAAGATAAAATTATATGTAAATTATTTGTTATATAACTTTAATATACAAAAAAAGTTTTATATTATAAATATTAAAAGCAAAAATAAGCTACTAATAAAACCTTTTAATAATATTACTAACATTTATAAAATTTAAATAATATATAAATTAAATCTATATTTTTATATTTGTAAAGTTTTAATATTTATATTATTATTATTTTTTTAATATTAAGATGAAGTTATATTTATATTATTTAAAAAATATTTACTTTTATATATTATAAAAGTTTTCTAAAATAAATTAATATTCTTGAATATAGTAACCTAGTAAAGTGATCAGGTTGTCAACCCTTCAAGTAGTAGGTTAGGTGTTCAAATTCTATTAATAGCAAAAATTTAAATAATTACTTATATAATCTAGTATTATAACAACTGTTCTTAATAATTAGATTAAAATACCTGTAATTATAATTGCACTAGCATGACTGGCAGATTATGAAGCATCTGTATAACTTGTTATACAGAGAAATGCAAACTGATATCAGGTAGTGCAAACTTTAGAAAAGTTCTTGTAACTGTATAAATCTGTAAAAATTGGTAAACAAAAAGCTTATTTAAAAAAACCTGAATAGAAAAATAATACAAATTTTTGACAGTACTAATACTAAAGTAGCTAGATGGGCAAGAACCTTTGGGTTGGGAGTTTTAGAGATATTACCAATCAGGCTGTCAAATCAGATTAGATTAAAAGAATATTAGGCTAATCTAATATACTAATAGACTGGTTATAGTTTTATATAGGCTATTTGAATTAGAAGTTTGGTAAAAGAAGCAGTAATATACTAAAGTACTAAGAATATGCTATAAAGTAGATACTGAGGTTTGGGTAAACTCTACAAAAACATAGCAGTTTAATAATTAGCTCTGACTGCAAGTGTTAGTTCTGTCATAGTAATATCTGAATTAGCTGCAAAAAAATAGATATATAGCAGGCTCCAGCAGGTTTACCTTAAAGATAAATGTTTTAAAGTTAAGACAAAGAATTTAGGCTTAATCTGATAAAGTAACATGAGACAGGTTCAAAGAATTTAAATAAAACACTTAAACAAGAGTATTAGATATAGTAATTGATAGAAAACATTAAACAGACTTCTTAAATAGATAATATAGAAAGTTATACAAATGGCCAACTGTATATTCTTTCTGTAGTAGCTTCATATAGAACTACATTCTTAAAAACATGTTAATAAGTCAAAAGACCAAAAAGATCACCTTAATACCAAAAAAAAAATAAATTAATCAATATTCTCTAAAATAATACAAAATATTTAATTTTGATAACTAATTTATATCAAAAATATTTAGTTTACTCTTTCTGCTAATCACTAAAATACAAAACTTGCAGAAACAAAAATCAAGACTAACATAAAAACCATTGTCAAAACTGTGTTCGAAGACTTAACAAAAAAAAAAAGCTTCTAAAAAAGACCTAACAAATAAAGCAGTAGAAAAAACAAGTTAAGAAGCAAATAAAGAAAAGACAAACTTGTCAAACAAGTCTCAAAAAATAAAAATTTTGGAGAAATAGCTTAGACTCAGAATTATAAATCTGTTTGAAACATGTGAGCATGTGAAAAAATAAACAAACAGACATATACAAATATAGACAGAATAAACATATAAATATTACAGAGTGCATATGATTGTAAACAAAATAACACAGAACATAGCTATAGATGATATAAGCAAAGGCAGAAGAGTCAATGACACTAAAATTGATAAGTAAAAGAGCAGAGACAGAACTAAAGCTCATAGGCAGCAAAGAATTAGAGCAAGAACTAGCAAATAGAAACAACTATTTCAATGTAAGAGATATAGTAGCAATAGCACTATAGAAAATAGATTTAATAAAAATAGTAATACTAAGAAAAATATAAGAAGCAATAATTAAAGTAGATATAAAAGACCCAACAAGTGTAAAAAAATAGGCAGAAGAGATAAATTATATGAGCCAATATCCACTAGCAGTGCAAAGTATAAGAAGCAAAAAAGTTTAAACAATATTAAAAGAAAAAATCAACATACCAGAAATATATATAAAAAAAATGAGACAAATAACAGAAGCAGTAAATATAATAATAAATAAAAAAGAGCTATGACAAAATATAAGCATAATAATTGAAGAGGCAAAAACAGACAACTACATAGAAGAAGAAATAAGAGCATTGAAGACAGATCTAATGCAAAAGGACTATAAAAACATCATTATAGCAATTAAAAACCAAAAAAAAATCAAAAGAAATAAAAAAAATGGAATTCATAAAACTGAACAATGAAAAAACAGAGGTACTATTATAGAAAAACCACTAGTATAAAGCATTTGGTCACTCTCAAACAGAGATTGCAGCAATGAAAGAACATATGTAGCAAAAATACTAGCATACAATGTATTAGGTAGTTCACAAGAAAAAAGAACAAAATTTATTAAAAAATTGTTAGTATTTAACAAATATGTTAAAGAGGTCAAAGAAATGTTTAAGAAAGGTAAACTTAGATTATTGTTACATTTAACTGCAAATATGACAGAGAAGAAGCAATTAGCAAAATCCAAAGAAAACACAATGATTAGTTTAGAATAATCTCAGACATAGATGAACTAGAAGAAAAAGAGATTAAGAAGAGCAAGAAGTTAAAGCAGAAAGATAAGCTGACAGAAGAAAAGAAAAATAAAAAAGAAACTAAAAGAACAAAAAACAATTTATTCAATCAAGAAAAAGGAGACATAAATAAAGAAAATAAAGAAAATACAGTAGCATTAACAGTATAAAACCTACTGAAAGAGATAACAGAATATAAAATCAAGTACCTAGTAAGAAAGATAAATAAAGTAATAGAATGCAGAATCTGAAGAAGCATATTCAGAACAACAACAATAATAAAAGTAAAGAAAAAAGAAGGTCAAGCATTTTATAGATAATTCTCTTAAGAAATAGAAAGTTAGCAAGAATGACAATAGATGAAGAAGAAGAAAAAAAAACCAATTCACAGCAAGATTGATAGAAATACAAAAGGAATTTCTAAACTAATTCTATTATGAGAACTTAAAACCAGAAAGGCAATAACAGTATACATTTCACCAAACAGATAGAGAAAACCAAGAAATTATGCAGTAGTGTTATTTAAAAGTTAGGAAGATATGAATATAACTATTAAAAAAAAGGTCTAGTACAATGGTGTCTTAATGTTCTGAAAAGTCAAACCAAAAAAATTAGATGAAAAACTCTATGTACTTTACAAAAACTTTAAATATATTTATTATTATATAATTAATATATAAGTAAATTATTATTATAATATTATTAACAATAATAACTAACATCATTCTTTCCAACAATTACCTGGACCAAGTTGGCACTAAAAGTAGATTGAAGACTCTGGCTCCAAAGTGAATAATATTCTTAGTTTTATATTAAGTAAACTTGCTATCAACAAAGCTCAAATACATGATATACTGAGGAGCAAACAAAACTTGAGTAGTTTTTGTCTTGGGTTAAGCTTTTTGTCTAATGGACTTCTTCACATATTTGGCATCCAAACTGGAAGGATATTCTGAAAGCAAGTAAAGACAAAATCAGTTCTCTGATTAAAAATATTAGAAGCAAAAGAAAAAGAAGAACAACTAGAAAAACTCTTCTGAACTTGAACTCTTGTAACAAAGATATACCTCCTCTTCATCTTTTTTTTTGTTTTCTTTTTTTTTAAAAAATGGAGATTTGGCTCACCTTCATCAAAAGATTGACATTGTGCATCACTTCTTTTTGCAGTTACATGCTTGTTTGAACATGGCAAATAAGAAACACAACAAACATGTAAGTTAGCCAATCTTGTAAAACAGATCGAAAAAGAATTTAATTCAGAAAAACCAAAAATATATTGAAATATATATATATTCTAAAACTATGTATATAATATTTTTTTTAAAAAAGGGGTTACAGAGGTTTATAAAGAATTGAACCACTTAAGTGCACTCTAAACCTTAACACAGTATCCCACCTACTTGAAGATTTCTTCTATACAGAAAGTGCCTGGCTTGAACTCTATTCTACAAATGAATAAGTTTTTATTTTGATTAAGAGTACCTAGTTTTTAGAGAATAGCCATAGTTTCTAAAAATATAAAACATTGTAGTAAGCAGCAATTATAGAATAGAGTTTTATTCTGTTAGTAGGTTTTCTTCTTTATTCTCCATATAGATTAGATTTATATTCTTTTTGTTTAGTTTTATTTTACTTCCTATTTTTGTTCTTCTCTTTCTTAACTTTAAAATCATTTTTATTTTTTTTGTTTTTCTCTTTTCTGCAAAAAGATGTCTTCAGATTGGTGGTATCCTATTGTAGAATGAGGGTTAAATGAGGTATAATTTCTAGTTCTAACTGAATTAGTGTGACAGATTACATTTAGATACTGTTTAGGTGGCTGAATGATAGTAGACTTATAAATTAAATAATATTTTGTTTTACATATGTAGCTACAAATAGTTTAATGAAGTACTACCATAATGCTTAAGAAAAAAAAATAAAAATAAAAAAAAATAAAAATAAAAAAAAATAAAATAAAAATAAAAATAAATAAAAATAAAAAAAAATAAAAATAAAAATAAAAAAAAATAAAAATAAATAATATTTTAATAATATTTTAAAAATATATTAAAAATAGGCACTTTCTATTTGTACACATAGTGTACAAACACACTCACGTGATGTAACTATATTTATAATAAATTCAACAAAGATAATTTTTGAGATATAAAACAAATACAACTATGCAAAAATTACTAGCTCTAAATAGCCTCACTATTCACTTCACTACGCCTGTTGGCTCTACTTCACTCTATTATACTAACACATTAATATACAAAGTATTTATAAGAAATGCCTTTATCCTAACTACTAGCAGTAGGTATATATAAAAATATCAAATGTTTATCAAAATAGTGTATTGGCCAAAATGTCTAGCAGTAATTTTTTTAAACTATTGTAAGCAATAGGATGGTGGTGCCAGAAGCTTGTAATCAGTATAATGAATTAATGGCTATGCCAATTACCTACCTAAAATTGGCTTTCCAGCAGTATACACTATATTCGCTGTCTACTTAGTATCAGATTGATAATTGATATTAGTAGGATAAAGGGACTAAGAGTATAATTAAAATAATCATTATAAACATTATCATCAGTATAATTAGCATAAATGTTATATGTAGTATAGGCAATATATTACGAATAAAGGGTTTAATGTATTCTATATAAATGAAAGTATATAATAAAGGCTTTAAGCCCTCCAAGAACAGTTCAGTTAGTGCTTATTATAAAATTCATCACTTAATAATAATATTCTACTGTCATTTTAATAAAACCTACAATTATAAACTATTCACTTATTCAAATCTAACTGCCTCTTTTGAGTAAGCCATTTATAGATTACACAATGTATCTGTTTAAGAAGTGACCAACATGTCAATATCAGTTCAATAGTATCACTATATATAACGCACTTTAAAATAACATGTTTTCTGATATTTTAGTTAATAAAAAAAGTTGAGTATTTGTATGAACATCTTATGATATTCATCTTAGATATATATTAGAAAATTAAAAACTAATTAGGTAATCAAAATGCAATCTTATCTTATTAATCCTTAAAACATATAATTGCCTAACTAAATAAGAATTTTAATCAAATGTGAATTGACCTAGTGAAGTAAAAAAAAAAAGCGAAAAGCATAAAATACAAAAGAAGAATTTAATACTAATTCTTATTTAATTCTTACTTTAACCAACCCTAATCCTAATTTTGAATATAACATGACTTAATTTTGTTAATGAATCAATATACAATGAATAAATGCTACTTATAACATAGCAACTTTAAATAACATTTTGACATGTTTTTGCATAGTGTCTATATTGCTTACACTTTTCATATTTTTGACCTTTTGTATTACTTAAGTTTTCTACACTATTTGAAGTATCATCTTCAATTAAATTAATATATGTACTATCTAACAGAACTTCCTTTCCCTTATATAAACTTTTTTCAACATTTACTTTTAATCTTTTTGAAGGCTGTTCTTTATGTTTAATAACAATAGAATTATTAACATCAGTTAAATTTTCTAAAACTAGTTTGTTCACCTTATTCTGGATGTCATAAATAAAGGATTTAAAAATATTTGATAATTCATATTGCATATCTGCCTTAATAACACAATCGATAGCCTTCTTTGATAATTTAGCTAATTCTGCATATACAGCTTTAGTTGATTTTATAGTTAAATGAGAACTATGTGAATTAGTTCGAATAGATAAAAAATGCTAAAAACTGATGCTTTGTTTGAATAACATATTTTCTTCTAATTGTATTATATTACATACTAGGATAGATGGATACTGTTGTAGAAGATCAGTTGGTTTAAGATTGGGATCCAAGTACTATCAATTTGGAATTATAGTTATATGAAAGGTAGCAAATTTTAAATAGGTACCAATATAGAAAAAATGACAACACACTAATCCCTTATTGATCAAAAGAAGACAGATACATAAATATGTACCTTCATTGAGCAAAATTATATAGTGTCCTACTTCTTGGGTTCCATTTGCATGTATATTCTATACTTTTAAGATTATTTCTTGAGGTATATTTTTAACTAGAGAGCTAAAAAGAATCTGTCGTGTATCCTGCTCTTGTTTTCTAATTCCAATACTTATTTCTTTGTTATCACCTTCTGACTATAATGATTAAATATACAGAATTAATTTATTAAAATCACTTTAAACATATATTAATAGTTAAATTTTCATTAACCTAATAACATTTAGTCTTATACAAATAGATTACTTCTATTATATTACCCTGTTTAGAATTTTAGCCTTATAATCCTAATACAGTACTACTAATTATAATATATCACAACTAATTCTAATAAAATTACTTACTTCTATCAAATGATGCCACTTTGTAACTTGAGTAATATCATAGCATACAGATTGATTCATTTGAGATCTTTGTTTTTCAAGTATTACAGAAGTTAAAAAGCTTTTAATGATATCATCTACTTGATCAAAGAATCTTTCATTTAGCATTGGCATACTGACTGTAGATAAAGAATTTTGTCCAGCTTCAAACTTTTCAAATGTTCCTCATTCTTGATGTAATCTTTAATACTAATTAACAATTCGTATAATGATATAATATGATCAACTTTATCATGTATATACTTGTTTATTGACTTAATATGCTGTATACTTTGTACACCAGCTGTAAACCACCTACGAATCCAGGGTATTGCCCACAAATGTTTAGTAATATAAAGAGTATCTGATAAATATTTTGCTGCTGCTAGATATTGTTTAATTAATTTGTTCCATCTATATTCAAATAACTCCTCACAAAAAGAATTCTGACAAATATAAAATTTGCAACAAAATTCTTCAAATTGGTTGCCTAGTTTTCTTTTAAGTTTTTTCTGTAGATTCAAATCTATATGAAAAATGCATAACAAATGTTGAGAATTAGGATTAATATCCTTGATCAATCTGATCATTGAAGGATCTGAATCAGTAAAAACAATTCCAAAAAAAACATCTGTTTCAATAAGTATATTTTCAAATATCTATTGATAAGTATCTAGTGTCTTATTTTCAATAATAGCATATGCTATGATTCTGGTTCAGAAATTATTATCAATTATGATTATAATACATAATATTATTTGAAATTAGTTAATATTATAAGTGCTATCTACTATAATAACATCATTATACTTAATGTACAGCTCTTTTTGTACAAGAGAAATCCATAAAAGTAAAATTAGCCTTCTTGAAATTGGATTCAGTTTAGTTTTTATAATCCAAAGTAGTTCTAATTCCTTCTAATTCATTAATAATTGAAGGATTTGTAAGACATCTGTGTCTCTGAGGTTATTTTTTTTTCTTAACTGATAAACCGCAGTGTATAAGTCATGCTTATAGATAAGTTAATTTGGGTAGTCATGTTTTAATAAGGAATATATAGAACTCCTATCTATTCGCTCCTGAACAACATACTTTTCTACATCAGCTAGCATTTCTGTAGTTAATTTTTAAAATCATAAGGCTATTTCTTGAATCATAGGTGTGAGTAGGTAGTTATGTTTATTATTAAATAAGTTTATTTTTACAATGTTACTTGTTTTAGGACAAGTTACATTAAGCTTTTAAGGACATAGTATCTGTTAGGAATGAGTATTACACTATTTTGTTGAATCTGAAGTAACTTGTAAGGTATAAAGACCAGATTTAGTATATTTATAAGTGGTTCTTTACATTACACTTTGACTAATTCCACTTGTTCTTGCATAATTTGGACCTTTGAGTATCTGTCTCTCTAAGAATACTTTGTCTAATCTTCTTGTTATTACTTTGGTGACCACTT